ATTTTTAGCTTTTCAGATTCAAATTTTGGTATTTGAATTGGGAAAAAAATTTCCTCGAGCGAGTCAAATAGAGGAAAAACAGATCCGGCTTGGTGCCCTGTAAGAAGAGAACAAAAGGATGACAAATAGGAAATATTTGCATATATTGCTTAAAACAGATAAAAGGCGCCGGGGGAGAGGGTTCGAGAAGTATATCAGATTAAGGAGCATTTGGCAGAAAAGCCTGGGAATGTGGCCAAATGGCCCAATGTTCCTGCTCATGTGATGAATGAGATGCAAAAAAGCATTGAACATGACATGACTGAGAAGCAAAAGAAGCAGGTAATATTGATGGTGAGATTAGGAACCCTTACCCAGCCCCATGGAGGAGTATTTTGATATTGAGAGGAAATAGGAGGCTGAGAACTAGAATGCGAATTGGGAAGGCGCGTGCCACCACAGGTTCTAATGCTACTGCGACTCGCAAGCAAAGGAGGCAAGGTCAAGGTGAGATAGGGCCTTGTTTCCCACTAAGGAGAACACTCGGCTCCCAACAAACCATCAAAAGTTTGGCTGGGAAGGACGCTATAGAGAGAGCAGATTTTTCTATAGTCTGGTGGATGTATCATTGTGCTATCCCTTTCAATACCCTAAACCCCGCCTATTTCCAGCATATGTTAGATGCAGTGGCATCCGTAGGTGTGGGGTACAAAGGCCCTTCCTATCATAATCATGGGACCAAATTATTAAAGAAGACTATGGAATAGATCAAAGGGTCCACAGCCAAATATTGTACAATATGGGAGACATGGATGTTCTATAATGACTGATGGGTGGAAAGATAAAAGAGCTAGGCAATTGATTAACTTTTTGGTGTACTGTCACAACGAAACAATTTTCTTGAGGTCTACATATGCCTCTGACATAATTAAGACTGGGTTGAGTTAGTTTAAGGATGTTGTTTAGGAAGTGGGGAGAAAGATTGTTGTTCAGTTTATTTCAGACAATGCTGCCAATTACTCCCTTGGGGGCAGTTGCTACAAGCTTATTATCCCTCTATCGTTTGGACAACTTGTGCAGCCCATTTTATAGACTTTAATACTTAGACGATATAAGGAAAATGAACTATGTTAAAGAAGTTGTAGAGAATGCAAAGGATATTACAAAATTAATCTGCAACCACTCCTTTGTCCTCTATCTTATGAGGGAGAATACAAATAATAGGGAGTTAGTGAGGTCAGCAATAACTAGATTCGCTACTAATTTCCTCATGTTGTAGAGCGTCAAATCAATCGGATGACCTGAGAGCCATAATTACATCAGCTACATGGAGGGATTCTATATGGGACAGGAGGATGAGCGAGAAGAAGATGGCAGATTTGATTTTAAGTAAACATTTTTGAACTAGTGTTAAAAATAATTTGAATTATAGAGCCCCTGGTAAAGGTTTTAAGGATTGTAGATAGTGATTCTAGGCCTGCCATGCAGTACACATATGAGACCCATGGATAAGGCCAAAGAAGCAATAGCAAAACCTTTTATGAAGATGAGGACCCAACGTGAGAATTTAGTGGGACATAATTGATGAAAGATGGGATGGGCAGTAACATCGCTCTATACATGCAGTTACATATTAACTCAACCCCCAATCCTTATTGTCCTTCTACAATACGGATACATTTTCAACTCATCTTGGAGTTTTGGGGGGCTTGAATACCATGGTGGAGAAGTTATATCCTGAAACACATATGCAAGTAAAGATTGGGAGAGAGTCGTGCCAATATCATAATGCATCAGGAGTATTTAGGTGACTTTAGCAATTGCCTTACGTACTAAAATCTTCCCAGGTTATCCATTTTATTAATTAACTACTAATTATAATGTAATTTATTTTTTCTTGTGCATCTCTTGTTCTCTAATCTATATTATTTAATTATCACTTTTGGCGGCTTGGTGGAAACAATTTGGTGGAGAAGTTTCCAACATTAGGAATTTTGCTATCCACATTCTATGCCAAACTTGAAATGCAAGTGGGTGTGAGAGGAATTAGAGTGTCCAACGCATCCACACTAATAAGTGAAATTGGTTGGAGCACAAAAGACTAAATCGCTTTGGTTTTTGTGCAATACAACTTGTAGAGAAGTAATAGACTCTTGCAATACAACTTCATTTTCACTATGTATCTATTAATTATAAAGTTCTACTGTTACTTTGGTTAATGATTAAATCTCTGGAATGTTTTATTGTAGGACTGAGAGAAAACCAATGCCCTTAGACTCAATTGACTTGGAGAATATCGATATTGTAGAAGAGTGGGTAGTCGATAAAGAACGGCCTACTCTTGAAGGTATTGAAGAGCATCTAGATAATTGGATGGAGATGGAACCACCACAAAAAGGATAAATTTAAATTTAATAATTTTATGTTTGAAGTTTTTATACACTTTAAGAATGTAAGTTTGTATCTTAATAATATGTATATTTTCTCATAGGTGTAGATGATGATTTAGAGGTCAACACTAAGGAACCCAAGGATGGACAAGGAGATGGAAATGAAGATGATGAAGAAGACTACTAATTAGTTTTGACTAGTGGTTTAAAAAACAGATCGGTGCCCCGGATCGGACACCCCAAAAACCCATTCGGATTGGTGAATCGGCGATCCGGATCGGAAATCGTCTGAATCGGTCGGATTAAGCTTTAAAAAAAATCTAAAAAAATTATTAAAATTCATTATAAATGTTGTTTTTTAAGAATCTAATAAGAAATCGGGGTACTACATTATTAATTTTCATTTTTTCCATCAATATGTGAATATTGAGTTTTTTTCTTTCTATGAACTTATTTTAACAAAAATACTTGTTGTATTTTTGACAAAAATAAGAAATGAGTTTTTTTGAGATAAATATGAACTTATTTTAACAAAAATAAGAAATGAGTTTTTTTGACAAAAATACTTGTTGTATTTTCTTTTATAAGAACTTTTTATTTTTTTAACAATAACGTTTTATTTTTTATTTTTTTGACAAAAACCTTTTATTTTTTTGACAAGAAAAAGAACTGATAAGAACCTTTCATTTTTTTAATAAATTTTTTTTTATTTTGTAGATAAGAAAAAAAATTGACAGAAAGCGAAATTGATAAAAACCTTTTATTTTTATTTTTTAGAAAAATCCTTTAACTTTTTTGATAAGAAAAAAATTTGACAAAAAATTTCATTCTTTTTATACGAAACTTTTTATTTTATTGATAAGAAAAAATTTGACTAAAAGTGAAATTGATAAATAACCTTTTATTTTTATTTTTTACAAAAAACCTTTAATTTTTTTGATAAGAAAATAATTTGACAAAAAAAGAGAGGAAAAAAAACAGTTCCTCAACGAGAGGAATCGAACCCGCGTCCGTCCACAAAATGAGCACTCGCAATAACCAGTATAGCACTTAAAACTTAGTGTTAATAAAACCGTTAACAAAATATATAATATATGGACATTTTAAGGTATTACCTTTTTCACATAGTCCCACATGGAAGAGAGAGAAGCAAATTTATGTAAATAAATAGTTCTTTGTACTCACCATTTATAGTGCGTGTGAAGCAACGAGATTACACGAAGCGTGTGGATCGTGAGCACACGTGTGTGAAGGAACTAGGGCCCCGCGAAGCATGCGGACCCGTGGGCTCCCGGTCTTTGACGAATTTTGCCTCAAAATTCCCCGAAATTTACAAAAATGCCCTTGACTATAGAAGAATGGGTGGGTCCTGACGTCATGACGCGAAATGCCCCTTGACTGTAGAAGAATGGGGACGCCATGATGCGAAGAACCGGGCAATTTACTATGCAAAATTGCGAGAACAAGGCGATTCCCGGCTTTACAGAAGAACTAACACGGGATGACCGATTCTCGATTCGAATCGGTCGATTCCGTGCCGACTCGGCGATTTTTAAAACACTGGTTTTGACACTTTTATTATATCACTTGGGTTTTGTAATATTCTACTTGTAACAAGGGTTTAAGGCCTATAGGATGCAAATTGTTGAGTTGTGGACAAGTGGTGGTGTATTTATTTTCTCCCTACAAGTGATTGTAGTTCATGACTAATTTTTTAATACTATATTATGAGTATTTTGTTTCGTCTTCTTTACAAATTTGAGTTATTGTATTATTAACGAGTATTTCTTTATTGCTTAAAGAGTTATATTTCATTGAAAATTTTTTAAATTTTTATTTACTTATCAGATTTGCATTTTTTTCATATTTTTCCCAATTTTTCCTTATTTTACTATTTTTAGTAATTATTTAATTTCTTAGACCGGTCTGACCTGTTGAATTGGTCTAGTTCAGCTGGTCCAACCAAACTGGTGCCTTCACTGATTCGGTCGCCAGTCTGATACTGCTCTATTGCCTAAACTCAAAGCTATTAAGGCTTCATTTTTTTGACAAGGAAATAATATTGGTGTGGTTTTCGAACTATCAACATTTCCTGAATGTCCAGGTGTTATTGCAATAGGATATTGATTTCTGATGTCAAATTCGGACATCATTATACTTGAGAGAGGCACAACTGTACAATACAATAGTGATGACTATTTAAAAGATAGTCAGGAATTTCAGACTAATGACTATTCAAAGAGTCCAGAATCCCAATGGTAATAGTTGTTCATAGAATCATTCAAAGCATCAAATAATTATGGATTCATAAAATGTGTAAATATAAGCAGTTGATGACCATTTATGGTTTTGTGCACATTAAAGAATAGCTAGTCTGGTCTCTACAGTATCCAGGCATGATACTAGTGACTACATGTGCAAGTGTGGGCATATGTATGTGTGCATGCATCCATGTGTTCATGAGCTGGTGTACAGCAACAGCAAATAACTTATTTGAGTGCTTTGATTATGAAACCCCATTCCTTAGATTAAAACAAAAAGATAATTCAATAGTCAAGCAAAAACTGCTCACATAACTTGCATGACTAAACCTCAAACATCTAATCAGACCAAAGGCAGATTGTAGCATACCATTAAGGTTCCTTCAAGACTATGTGTTGGAGGAGTCACCATCAATGCAACAAAATACGGAAGCAATACCTTGTGCATCTGCATTTAAACGCATTTCAAGAAGGAAAAATGTAACTATCCAACTAATGAATAACATTAAATATAATAAAGGAGAATAGATGACATGTAAAAAAATTCAAAAGCTTTCTTTCTTTTTTGACAACTCAAAGCAGAAATGTATACATCATGTAGCACAATAGTAGGACACTAACCCGTTACAAATATGACAAAGAAAGAACAAGATGTCTTGAATATCAATACATGTTCACAAGGTAATCGCTTGGACAATATGCAAATGAAATTATTCTGGTATTATACTGATTATCTTATTATGATGCAAGAACTTCACAGATAACAGTAATTTCAAGAAGGCATATATATTCAGGCATCCATTTTGAGTGATCCAAAGTTTGAATTCTTTCAACATCAGGCACTCCTATATATATAATGTGAAGTTCTACATGCATCTTTGTAGCCCACATGAGAATATTTTTGTCAAATGTAGCATTTTCTCATATATGTATTTAAGGGATGTCATATAATAATGAAGATCAGTTTTTACCCAATATTCTGCTCCATGTCACTAACCACCAAATACTAATTACTAACTGCATGTCACATTCAAATACATATACACAAAATATAACATAGTACGAACAAGAACAACAGTATTAGCTATGTTCAAAAAATCGGCCACCTAGCTGCCAGAGCGACTGGGAGGCCTCACTGCCCCACCTTGGGGCTATATGTCCTTGGGCATGGCAGTAACCCTGGCAGGAGACACCCAACTGCTTGGGCGGGTGCCTAGGTCCTACCGCCCGGGGCCCTTTTTGCAAGGGTGGAAATTGCCCATGCCAAAAGGGCATTTTGGCAATTTCCCCCTAGGAAAGGGGGAAAATAGGTTATGGGGGGTTATTTTGGCCCCCCAAAACCCTAGTGAGAGAGATTTTCCTCCCAAAACATATTTTCTTAGTCTGAATCGAAATGTTTTCGCTTTGAAAATCAATTTCGAACTCGAAGTTTTCAATTCTGTGGTATTGAAAGGCATTTGACTTGGGTGTTTTTGGAGACCAAAGAGGTTGCAAAGAGAGGTTTTGGCATATGAAAGTAAGCGATTGAAGCCTACTTCGATTGGGTTTGGAAAGGTTAGTAGAGTTAAGGGTTTATGCTTAGGGTTCCATTTTTATGAGTATTGTATTATGTTATATTTTTTTAGTTAATTTTCTTGTATTTATATTTGAAGTTTGGCATGACAATTATGATGAAACTTCTTGATTGTTTTTTTTTTTTGGAAGGGTTTGCTTGCTACTTTTGTGATCATAACATATTTTTGGATGTTTTTGGATGTCAAAATTTGGGCAATTTTACAGTTTTATACTTTTAAACATGTAGATTCCATAACTGAAAACCCCACACCCCCACTTTTTTCACTCCACCTTCTGCCCCGCACCCCCCCCCAAAAAAAAAAAAAACGAAAAAAAAGCAATCCCCTTCACAGTGGCCACCCTTTGCCCTAGGTGGCCATTTCCGTCTTCTTGAACATTGATTATTAGTTTGAAGTGCCTCACTGGAAAAAAAATAAAATCTTCAATGACAAGGGCTGCTTTTTTACCATCTTCATTAATCCTCACACTAAACATTAGTTGATACAAAAAAGATTTCAAAATGTGCATTGAAGAATGTCAAGTTACTCATTTTCAATAAAATTGAAGGATTTGATACTGGAGACAAACCTCTCTAATGACATCATGATCATTTGTGAAAATATAAGGACATAACCAAGGGAATAAGGTTCCGATGCTCCCTAAGATAAGTCCGCTTAGACTTCCAATAATTATGAGCGACTTGAGTAATGTTCTAGCCTGGTCAAGAGCACAAAAAAGTTAGTATCAAGACCTGCACATATACACACATGCATATACAAGTATTTTCGTGCATGCGTAGGTGTAACAAATTTCAGGGAAACATAAACTACATGCCAAACTTATTTGTTATGTTTCAGGATCTCAAGAGCACAAAAAAGTTAGCACTGCACATTTACACACATGCATATACATGAGTTTCTGTGGGTGCATGGGTGTAACAAATTTCAGGGAAACATAAACTGCATGCCAAATTTATTTGTTACGTTTCAGGATATCAAGATGCATACATGCCAAAGAATGCAGCCATAATTGATAGAGCAGATATGCTTGATTCAATTGTGCATCCAATCATCTCCAAATGCACTATTTTCAGGAAATTATCATGTTATTGTATTAATTACAATACATTGCCCAAAGCTCAAATCCAATGTGGAAGGCTCCTTGTGTATGTGTCCAAGTTTTTTGTGACACCTCTTTAGCAAAAAAACAAAAAAAAATCATCTTAAGGGTACAGTAATAGTACATCTCTACTGACAAGAGTAAAAGCATAGACAACCATTCTCCAAAGAAGAGGCAACATGAGTTGTGCAAACTGTCTACCTAAAATACACTGGTTAACATCACAGTCTGAAACGCAAAAGTAGAGTCTGGAGTTGGGACTTTTCATGTCAAAAACAAGTTGATTAGCAGAATAGACAGGTCCCGTCATCTTATCTCTGTTGCAGTTAGGCCAGTGTCACAAGTTGGTCATAATAGCAGACCTCCCCTGCCTATGTATGTAGAGAATTTCTTGGGTAGAGGACTCTTAAGGAAGGTTGTCCAATTTTTAGGTTCAAAGAGAACTTTTAAAACCCTATGTGTACCATAAGTTTGTCCCTTCCACGTCCTAGTTGCCCCCACTTATTTAACGTGGGATATTATGTGTGGAAACAAGTGTGTGGATGAAGACATAGAATTAACAAAACTGTCAATGTGTATACATGAAAGAAAAAAACATGCATATATGCATGCAGCTGCAGCGTGTGAATAAATTTAGTTTATGCTGAAAATCAGCATGCAGAATTTACTAAAAGGACATGGTTACCAAGCGGGCCAAGTCTACACAAGTAGAAATGCGGGCCCCTTAATAAATCTATTTTTGAGATGGATTTTTGGACTTAATTTTTAAGGACATGTAACCTCTAACATGGACATTATGAATATGAATAAATAAATAAATTTTAAAAACTAGAAATAATAATTCTATTAAGAAAACATTTGGACCATTAGTTTCAATTGTTTTTAGATGAACCACCTAGTTGTATCCATCTTTAAGATGGATGCTTTATACTTCTGGACCGTATATGCAGAAATACGATCCAGCCCGCATGAAACAATGTTCCTTACCAAAACCCATTTTATGCAAACAAATGCCAAATGTGTCATCTTTTGGGGAATAAAGTACCAATAGTCCTTAATGCAAAAGAAAAAACCTTCCAAAACATAAACACCTATAATTGCAAACCTTTTACAGAAACTCCAACACAAATTTCAGACCAATGACAACTAACACCCTCAAAAGAAAATAATTTATAATAACATACATAATTACAAGCATGTCCTTACACTGAATCAAATGATGGTTATACCCTTATGTATATACAACAACTAAACCCCGATGCCCCACCTCTCAAGTGTGCAATCAACAAGAAGCATTTCTGCAAATATCACCAAATTTTGGACAGCTTTTTCAGTTGCAACAACAACATTTTTCTCTTGTATTTCGCTTTATCATTTTTTCTTACATCATACACATGTATATGTTGTACTAAATATGGCATATTCCACATGAACTCACTGTGTATGCATTATAGCAATTACAAAAGATCAAGCCAATAAAACTAAGTCAGAATAATCAATCGCTTGAATCAAGGATCAAGCAGGGTAATACAAGAAAATGATGCAGACCTGTGCCAGATTTCTATGTACTCCACATATCAACTCTGGCATGAAGGATTGTGCTGTTTGTGACAGCGGTTCCCCCCACACAGTACACATGCAATATACACCAACCATAACCTGTGGACAAACTTTAGTGAAAGGTAAGTTAATAAAGATCTCAATTAACAAACAGCTATGCCTACTAAAATGTGGAAGGATGAAACTAAAACCTGATGAGCCGCAATGGTCACTGTCCCCATCGATGTAGCAAAATAAGTAAGAAGCGAATAGAATGCAACCTGACAATTAAACAGAAGTTAACCATAAAAGATAAAAAGTAAAGGCATGAATCCAATCAAAATAAGACATATAACAAGTTAAAAACCTTTGATGTCATTGTCACAAAAACAGGAGCAGCAAGCTTAAATATGAGTAGAAGTTCAGTTGACGATGGAAAAGACATGGAGTAAGCATCAAAACCCATCTTATTCAATGAATCAATCATCATAAAACCTGCCACAATCTACAAACAAGAAATCACTGAGTGATAATAAAACAAGTAAATCGCATAGAGAAGGTTCTCAAAAATTAGAGAAGAAAAAAGCACAGCATAACTGTTTTGAAATGTCATTTACTGTTAAATTTACCATACTTGGGACACCATTGTTGCCCATGCAGCACCTGCAATACCATATCCCAACAAACTGCATAATACAACATCCCCAATTCCATTGACAAGACTAGCAATTGCCAAAACCTTCAGTGGTCCCCATGAATCTTTCAAGGCTAGGCTGAAGACAAAGTAACTTGTGAGAAGAATCTCATAAGAAACAACACGAAGCAAGCAGTACTTAAATTTGGGAAATGGATACTTTTAGCTCCGAAACATCTTTTGATGGCCTTTATAAAACATTATCTTGTCCTCAAATGTCTGATTACAAATGACAAATGAAAAGAACCTAAATATATTAGCAATTCTAGGATTAGATCATTGGGTAGCTTTAAGGCAGTGACATACAGGAACAAAAATTCCATATTATGGTGGCATGTAATCCATTCATAGTACCTTACATATATGAGATTACTATAAAAAGAAAGACTAGTCCTCAGCAAGATTCCAATTTAAGCAACAGAGATGGCAATGTAACCTAAAGAAACTTCATTCCAGCAATAAGGTGGTATTCCATCCACATCAAAAACTCAAACTCCATCCCAATTTGGACAAAATCGCTCAGGCAAATAGTCAACTTGGAAAACTCTGGCAAGTTTTTCATTCTTGAAAGGTAACATTTCCTTTCGTATCAGCAGCAGGACTTGAACTTAAGACCGCAATTCTAGACAGGGAATGCATAGTAGCATGAAACAGAGAATTCATTCTCATACTAAGTCCAGTATATTTATTTTATAAATTCAAAAACTCAGTTAGGCACTAGTTTTTCATTAAAAACTTATCAGTGTCCACTGCCAAGCTGATTTCGACAATTCCAATTAACTCGATAAGAGTTCCAATTCACTGAGATCCATTGCCAAAGTTTTATTTTCAAATGAAAACAAATTTAACAAGACAATAGTGTTGACCAAGGAAATAATAACAACAATGGTTTACCTTTACAATCAAAGCAGTTTGAATAACACCATCACCACCAACTATCATATATACATCATATAGAGAATATGAAAAATTACCCCTGGGGGATTATTTAATTAAGTGAGAATTATCGACATTGCTCTCTCTATTTCTTTCTTTGGCCAACATAATTCAGAATATCTCATTGCTTGGACCCATAATTTATTTAATTTGCAAATGTAGTGTGCATAAGTACTTTTCAAATCCTAAATGTCTTTTAAAATTTACACAACCTTTCAAACACCCTTGAGGAGAAATGAACCACTTGGCTGATGCTTTGGTAAGGAAGGGAGTCAATAGATGGGAACGATGTGTTATCCAGCATGTTTGATTCATTCCCCAGAAACAACTGTGTTCTCCTCTGGTGTCCCTTTTGTTGATTACATGCACCAATTTTCCATAAATTCTTACACAATAACACAATTTCGTGACACAAATTTTACAATCACTGAACGAAACAGTGGCCAATCAAAAAAAAAAACTGAATATAATTTCAGAAATCCTTCAAATTTCCATTGAAGAAAAGCAATATTCACAAACCCATATGCATGGATTTAATAGTACATTAAAATTAGACAATTATCGCCTTAATGGAAAGAAGTGATTAAATACATCAGTGTACATAAAGCTTGTGCAGGTGACAAACACAGACGGATAGATAATTAGAAGAGGGTCCCTGAAACAAAAATATACAAAAGCAAGTACAGCTTGGAACTCCATATTTTGTATGAGCTATGTGGCATGTTTGAATATCGAAGATGTGACTATGGAAGCCGCGTCCTCCAAGGAAGTAGAACTCGTGGCTTCCACGGTCCCCATGGAAACCACATCTTCCGCTTCTCAATATTGTTTTGGGTGCCGCAAGATCTCGTGGTCCCAAAAAATGTGTAGTACTTCCCGTTAATCAAAAGGGGAAGTGCTACAGTATTGGGAAGTGACGATTTCCTAAAGCACCACTTCCAAAAAATTAATACCCCTCAGAATGCAAGTTGATATAAAGCAATTACTCATAGCTCCACATGAATTCATATGTCTAATTTTTTTGGTTTTGAAGTGAACACTTGAAAATCCTCATGAGGCTGGCCCGACATGCAGCTCTTGTACGTCTTCTGAGGATAGGTGTTTCCTAATGTATTTAATCCTCATAGACTAAGTTGTGCTATAAATTGCACACCAGGCTGGAATGAAATGAAGAGCCCAAGTAAGAATGTAAAATCTACAACAAGAAGAAAGTTATAGGCCTGTAGGTGAAGAAGAGAAAGGAATTGGGGAAGAAGGAAAGCACAATAAGTTCCCAAGTTATCAAAACTCAATAATTTCAGATATAAGCTGAGTCCTATGGTGGCTCCTATGGTGGCTACAGGGCGGGGCAAATAGTTGGTTCCAACTAGGATCCGTAATTGAGAAAAACTGTCTTTTTTTCTTTTGATAGTTATAACAAATTTCATTACTTGAAATAAATTGAATATATAAAAGTGAAATATTCTTTAATGTACAAGTAATATATTGAGTCTGTCAACAATACACTCCACGAAGAGCAATTAAGAAAACCGATTATACTTCCTCCAGCTTTTACTCTAAGCAGACAGAGTTCTAAAAGACTGTCACCACTAAACTAGGTTTTGTATTTCCTTCTCTGGTCAACATGCCAGCCTCCTTGTCAATCACTCAACCAGAGTTCTGTAGGATTACTTTTAGAAATCTTGGAACCTCGCTATCTCTTCAAACATGTTGTACACCCTCCATGGACACTGATCGTCACTACCACTAGCCATAGACGACGTCTTCTGAATCCCTTTAGATTATAATGGTTACCATTGAACCAAATCTCATATTCCAACCAACAGGGACCGCTCTTTTCTTCTGTTGTATCACAACAATGTAATGGCCCTGGGTAGCTCATAAAAAGTTGACCTCTGATCTCTCAAGATTCTTCCAATGCCTGAAGATTCCTCCAATGCCTGCAGCCCAGGATTCCATTTACAGCTTTTATCAAAGTTCCGCTCGATTACTCCTGGCGGCGATTGCCATTCATAGCCTTATAATTTCTTGGTGCACTTATTGTCACCATTTTATCCAAACTGTCTTTAAAGCCCGCAATCGAATAGCCCAAAACTTTGATCTTGCCCATGGGAAAATGTTAATCTTCATTTCTTCCTTCATTTATCAATTCCTTTTTTTGGTCTTTAAAGTGACTATTGTTTCTCTGTAACCAGATAACCCATAATATAGCCAGTACACTATCCTCCAAAGAACAAGGCCAGCCTTCTGCACTAGTGTTGTAAACCATTGCCCCAGCACTGTCTTGAAGGATGAGGGGCTCCACCCAGGTAAAAATTAAAATTAAAAAGATTCAGAGCAAAGGACCACAATTCTCTAGCAACAAAGGCAATGCAGAAACAAGTGTTCCACAGTTTCAAAATCTCCATTTCCATGCACCTCATATCCTGCCATTATTGCCACCACCCTTACTAGCCAACCAGATTCATTTGTCCTATACTCATTCTTAATAACTTGTTTCCACAGATGGCCTGATTGTGTTCCAAACTTCCACTGCCGTTCAATTAATAGGGCCTGGTTCTATTCTCTTAACCTCATCCCTAGAACCCCTTTACACTTCAGCTTGCATACATTATCCCACTTGGCCTAATGGAACTTGCTTCTATGTGGCCTTCCCCACAATCCCTCACCAAATTTTCAATCTTTCATCATCGAGGCTGGGATTTGAAAGCGGGCCCTCTAGAATATGGGTAAACTGCACAAGGTTTGAATTGATAAGGGTGACTCTCTGCCCATGACCAGGGCATCTTCATGGAGATGAGCTTCCTTTCCCAAAGCTTTCTATGATGCACCCCATCCCCCCCTCCCCACCCCGCCAACCCAAAACAAAACAACAAAAAACCCCACCAAAAAAGAACCCCAACCCAACCAAAAACAAAAAACTAAAAAAAATAATAATAAAAATAAAACGCACAAGGGCATACCCAGATATTTGTTTCGCAGTTTCTCTGTCCCAAACCTTATACATTTGCAAGTTCGCCTAGACATCATCAGCATGTACTGATATGTTAACCCTATCATGTCAGTTTTAGATGTATTAAGTCAAGGACTGGAAACTACTCCAAAACAACTGAGAAAGTGATGCTACTCGATAATCTGTGCTTTGCTTGCATAGCAAAAAAAAAAACAAAGTGTATCATCAGCATACAGTAGGTGTGTCCTGTCAAGATAACATTCTCATATGCCCCCAGTGACCATGCCACTGAAAGTTGCCCCTTTGATTGAGAAAAAAAAATGCAAACAGTGGGTCACCCTGCCTCAGGCCTTCTGAACTTTAAAAATTAAGGGTCCCATTAATTGAGATCAAGAAATGTGCTGTTGATAAACACCCTACAATCAAACCTCACCATTGAGCTCCAAACCCCATTAGCTTCATGGTTAGCTCAAGGACAACCCAATTGACCAGATAATATGCTTTCTCAAGGTCCAATTTACAGATGACCCAAGGTATTTCTTTTATGTAGCTTGAATTAATGCCTTCGTTGGCCAAGAAGGCAACATCTAAGATCTGTCTCTCCTTTACAAAAGCAGCCTGGAATACAAGATGACCTCTGTGGATACTTATCTGAGCCTCATCTCAGACACTCCAGCCAATGTTGTTAAGCACTGCCCAAAAAACTAATGGGTCTAAAATCAATAATGTCCATATTGCGATTTGACCTGGGTTGCGCCTAATATAGCAGCTAAGCAAGGTAGAGGGTTGGATTCAGCTACCTGCATTCTTGAAAACTTGAAATTAGAAAGAAAGAAAAGACGTGAACCCTTTGATTCCCTCCCCATTGGACAAAAGCCTTGGCTGCTTGATAGAGTTCAACAGTGCTTGTCGTAGGATAGAAATAATCAAAATCTTTCCAATTAGACAAATCTAAATGGAGTCGTGGAGATGTCACAAAGTTCTTTCATTATTACTTTCCAGGACATGATATAGAACTGGTACCAGGGAACTGAATGGGCTTTGCTCACAAAGTTCTCAGATATCTTCTACCTCCCCTAAATTGGATTGTTCTCAGAGAACTGATAACTTCATCTATTCCAAGAGAATTGGCCTCCCATAATGGCATACCCAGTGCTCCTCCCAGAAGATAATCTTCTATATACCTGAACTCCTCCAACTGCAAGCCATTCTAGCAGGCATGGACATGAAGTGACATGTTTGTCTATCCTTAAGCTTCTATACAACTTCATATGACATAGACATTGAAGGGCATATCCACAAATTACATATATACCAGGGGTTTAACTTAAGAAATTTATAAGAGAAAATGTAATTTATTCAATAAAGTCAAGACAAGAAGTAAATGGCAAAGTTACGCTTGTGTGTCTCAAAGAGAATATGAAATTACTTAAGCAAATTGGACAAATGGTACACATACCTCACACTTTGTGCTACCAACCCAACAAGGACTGCTGGCCAGGCTAAGCCTCGAATCTACAAAATAAAAACATCGATATAAAAGATTATATGCTCGACTATCACAACACAATCTAAAAAAGAAAAAAGAAACAAAACAAAAATAAAGAAGTCAATGAGAGTCTATGGATAATTTATAAGCCAATGACTAAAAGAGAAAATGAGCACCTACAGCTACCAAATTACACATTTTCCTTTTAATTGTACCTATGTCATGGAAAGGAGAAGTTTGAACTACATGTTTATATAGTAGAGGTAAGTTATTTAACAAAGCACATTGACCTAGCCATGCATCCATTTTCTATTTTATTCAATATTGTTATATTAAACTGTGAACTTCATAAGCAATTGTAGAAAATCCCCTAACCCAAGACCCATTAGTTTTTCTCTTTGCCCTTAAAACTGTTCACTTTACTTTAATATATATTTCTTTTACTAAGAAAGACAGGGTTCACTGGCTTCCCTTTGATTTACTTGTCGAACCTTGATATAAATTGCCATATCAATTTTTTTCTGAACTCACCAAATTGTGATTTAGTTGCTCTGTGCTTCTTACATCCAGCAATACTACCAATTAAGAAAAGAAAATTACCACTGGAACAAACAATAAACACAAGAAGGCCAAACTACCACTCAACTAAAACACCTGTAACATTCAATGTCACCTACCATGTCATCCTCAAACAAAATGTTCATAAACTCCTGAGTTTTCATGTGCTTATTTAATTCAAGAATTATTTATTTCCTCTAGCAATACCAGGCTATCATCAAAGAAAGATTGAAGCAAATATGAAGCTTAACTCATAACTCATACATACAGATTAAATTTACAAGAATATTATGAGAATCTCAATGAAAACACACAAAGAAAGAATGAAAAAAGTAATAATCTTGATAATTAATCTAAATGAGATAAACAGTTACAAAGTTCCTGTCCTTCATTTAGACATATTTTAGGGCCTGCTTGATAAAAAACAGAAGTCTGAATATTTGGAAATCTGAGAATCAGGTTAAAGACATCACCGGCTTTCCATTATTTGGGATTCTATATATGTTTCTGTTTGTTTTTTTTTTACTATCTAGCTATATTTCGCAATCTGTATATTTAAAGATTTAAAATTTTCAATTTTTTTACAACATAGAATTTGTTGAATCTATTACGTAAATAATGAACAAATTAATTTTTACCTCTCTCTCTCTCTCTCTCTCTCTCTCTCTCTCTCATCTCCTCTCCTCACACACACACACACACACATACATACGAGTTTGGACTTTAGAAGCATAAGAAAGAAACAAGAGATAGAGAGCTATAGGAAGAGAAGACAGTCGTATCTCTCCAATTTTGGTGAAAGTTAACTAATTTACTCCAATTTTTTCGTAAAAGCCAGAATTTTCATGAATTTTTATCAAAACTCCATGAATTTCACCAATTGTCTGCTGAAATGTAGATCAAATACTGACCACATTTCTATTAACATGAGCAAGTTCTCATGGAAAATTCAATATCCACCAAAATTAGAAAGAGACCAAGAACAAACGTACAAATACTTTTTCCCTAACAACATAATCACTTTGTAGTTGCAGATTAATCACTCTCTCTTACCTAAACAGCACTGTCACTGCGTCATTTCATTGAAGACTCTCAACTTAGCTTCAACCCCAAAGGAGAATAAACTTAGAAAAGAGAAGAATCTCTCCTTTCTCTCTCCTCATATACCAATTCACCAACTTCTCTCCTGAGTGTTTGTTCTATCAATGGCTAAAGGAGGTTTTAGAAACCAAATATGAGATTCTCGTGAGAGAGAGTCTCCCAGAGAGCTGCTGTAGCAGCAGTTTTGGAAGCCATGGAAAGCCTAGTCACACAGTATTCATGTACACAAGAGCTCATGGAGTTTGCCTATTTTCTGCCATGTCTGAAAATCCATCCCTCAAATTCGATAAGCTTTTTCAAATCCCTATCCCTCACTCACTATCCGCAACATAGCTGCAAATTCTCTTTGCCTAGACTATCTTCTCAGATCCGCATCCAACTTCACATCTATTGTCTCCTACACCCTGGTTGTTGCACCTTCTCTCTCTACAAAAGAGTCTCTTTCTCACTCCTCCCTTCATGTTCTCTTTATTTATTATAAAACCAACAAGGCTCGTTCTCTTTGTTGCAGAACTGATGTCATCCAATTACCTGAAACTACTTCAAAAACATATTATGGGGAATAAATGAATTTCAGTTAACATGTTAAAAATTAGGGTAACACCTTTTTTCTACATAAAAATTGATATAGCCCACAAAAGTCTGACAGCAGTTCAGCATCTCAAGTAAAAACAAAATAGAAATAAAAATATGAGTCACAACCATGAAAATATTGTCTACTATTGACTGATTCATTGACCAGCATCTGACCCTATAAAGATTTATGAGCAGAAGTCAATTAATTCATGATATCGTATTTGTAGCCACAAGATCAAGGCCATGAAGCAAAGGATAATATGTTACATGGTTAGCATAAGAACCTGAACATATGTGTTGGCAGCTGGTACCATGTGAATATTTTTCGACCCAGTAAAAGCTGTATCGAAATAAACAAAAAGTTGAATTAACAGGAATCTTGTTTACGGACATCAAATTACACAGCATGTAGAAAGAAATCAGAGTGTATGCAAGTATTATAAACGACACAGTCAAAATAACCCATAACTATAAAAAATAGCAACCTCACACAATATCTCCTCCCTAAATTTTATCAACACCTTCAGCATTTATCTAATCATCTGAACTAGCAAGCAGAACTATCATGCACAACCAAAGAACTTCTCCCTTTCCTTTGGTCATTCACATAAATCTTAAAATGCTAATCCACTCCACCCACGCTTATCTTAAGAGCATCTCAAAAACATATTGCAGCCCACCAATACATGTCACTAATACGGTAACCAAGATGATCAATTCTGCTAATTATTTTGCTGAAACAAAGACGTTCCACTAAAATATGTAAAAAATTGGACTATAATACTACAAAAAAAAAGAAAAAGAGGAGCAGATAAAGAGTCATTTCAGGGGGGGCCAAGAAAGAGAGCCACGAATCCAATTTCCTCGAATTCAGAAAAATACTTAAACAAACCCAACAGACACCCCATGAAAAGTCACCACCATATAAACCAACAATTTAGACATTCAAACTACTTATAAAGCACAGTGACTTCAAGAATGGAGTTAGCAACCTTGAAGAGATTGCTCATCCTTCAAATTGTTTTGCATTCTACAGAGCATTCTACAGAATGATGCATTCATAAAATCCAACAGCTGAAGCCTTGAGAAATGTTTCTGCCACTAAAATGAAATAAATAAGTACTTTTTTTTTTGAGAAAAGATGACGATATATTACTGTGTAGTATGGTTAAATTCCTCACGAGCAGTGAAGTGTTATGGCAGCCCACAGACCGCTCCTTTACAAAAATAAACAAACAAAAAAGAGGCGATAAGAGAGAAGAGAGATACAGAGAGAGATAGAGAGAGCTTAGATAGTTTGTTATGGCGGCCCACCAGAATGGTGCTCATTTACGAAAAATATACTCATGAAAAAGAAGAAGAGGAAGTATAGTAGAGCGAGAGATGAGCTGATAAGAAGCCTATCAAAAAAGAGGCGCAAAAACCAGTAAGTACTGTCCAGAAAAGTGCACCATCCAAGAAGTCAAAGCAAGAGTCTACTAAGTGCTGTCCCGAAAAAGTGTGCTACCCAAGAAGTCATGGCTGTATAAAAGCAGAGCTTTTTTTTTTGGAAGGGGGGGCAGAGAGCAAAGTAGAAGAGAGAGAGAGGGGGAGAGGCGGGAAAATCAGGAAGAAAGAAATAACTATTCATAAAGCTGTAAAGAATGCATAGAACCAACAGACACATAAAGACAAGTAATTGGAAAAAGTCAAGATAGTATGCCTCCAAGGTAACTAACTAAATTTTGGTTCAGTTTAAAGGGTATTGACGAGCACACCATTTCATGTCATGTTGAAGCTCATGAATGGAAAAATTGGCAGGGCATGAATGTTCTACGAGCATAAGACAAATGTTTCCAAAGTAGTTTTTTATAGATCTGCATCATAACCTGAGAGAACTCAGTTACATATAGAATGTAAGAACTGAAAAAAAGTTGACCATAAAAGCAGGCACTTCTGCAAATGATGTGATTACTAAATATAAAAGAATAACAATTCAGTAAAAATAGGAAGAAGTGGTCAATAAAAAAATTAAAGTACTTTTCATATCTGTACAAGCCCATAAAACATGCATAATGAACTGAAGACAGGACTTCGGTTCAGTTGGATAATCACAACCCAAAGCACACAACATAGAGAGAGAAGCTCTAAGGAAATCCAACCCAAAGCACACAACACAGTTAACAGCTTCAAAAAAAAAAAAAAATCCTCCAACTCCCAGGTCATTGTAACTTTCAGCTTGTAAGAATATCCCCATTCTTACTTTTTATCAAAAAGAACAAAATCAACAAAAAACATCAGTTGCCAGAGCGGGTATACAAGCCCAGCTCATTTATAGAGATTCGTTTCTAGAGATCACATCCAATATTCATGCCTTATTTTCAACAAGAACATTGCAGATCCCCCAAGTCAATACTAAGAGTCTACTAAACATTGGATGGAATTCATTCGAATATCAACAGGCATTCATTACCTGTTAGTAATTGTGTGCCAAAGAATTTTGTAAACAAAAGCATCCCCATGCCACAAGTGAAAGCTACAAACAGCAACATGGAAATGTGCTGCTGTGCTTCCTTTCTATCCTGCATAAACATGAATATGCTAGTCAAGCGTCAATTGAACAATCAGACTTAATATGATGCCCAAAAATATGAAATATCTAATTCGACCATGAAGTCTTGCCCTTCATAATATATATGCTTTTATGGTATCACACAATTCAACCATACTGCTAAAAGGCAATGCAGCAAAAAGATATTCTACAATACAAAAAAAAACTCATATTTTAAGTAAAAGCTCACATTTCACCAAAAAAAAGTCATATGTTAAGAAAAACAATTATTGGGTAACAAGCAGATTAAAAAGCCTTTTTTGGAAAGTCTATATAAAGGAATTTTTTAGTTTAATACTTAGATATCAAATCTGATAAATTATAGAAGGAAAAGTAGTTAAAAAGGAATGCATCTTAATCCATGTTGGAAAAACCGGGCGATCTAACAGGTAACTGCCCGGTTAGAGCGGAACCGGCCGGTTCCGGTTTCAGGCGGTTTTAGTGATTGGCCGATATTTAACAAAAAAATTCAAAAAAATGTATATAAAATCTCAAAAATAAGGAATTTGGTTTGTAATACATTTTTTAATATTCTTTACATTATAGTAAAGATTAGAAATTATTTTAGTCATTAATACTCACTTTTATATTTTCCCATCTTTTTTGAAAAATTTTAAACATACCCCTAGGCACAAATCGATTCTTTAAAATTCATTTTTTTCATTAATTTTCAATTTTATTTAATGTGTTTTGTTTAAATCATTCTTCATGTGCATTTCATATTTTAGTAGATTTTTTTTGTATCTTTTTTATTTTTTTCAACAGTTTTTTGACCGCTCAAGACTTGCCCGGTTAGAAAGGTTGTATCGACCAGTTTACCAATTAAACCGCTTCCAGCCCCATGTCCGGTTAACCGTTCCGGTTCGATTTTGCAAACACTGATCTTAATTCTATAAGTGAACTCTGAGACAGATTTCAGTTTCAGGAATGGGCAAACACTTGGAACCATAGACACGAAAACCTTAAGGTTCACATACAGTCAATAAGCACATATGCACTACCAAGAAAACTATGTAGATTAATAGCTAAAAAGACTAAGAAACCAGGCAAAAATGATTTCAACAATGAAGCAGGCCAAACACAAAAGTGAAAAGAATAGTAATTTCTGCAAGGTATCATTTTATCATATCATTCTCCGGTGCAAGAAGATGTGAAAACTAGAAATATATAACTGCACCAATTAAACCTTTAAAACCTGGATTAAAAGGAACAATACCAGGAAATTCATTGTCAAATAAGAAAAGTCTTTTAGGTTAAACAGCACCACCCTTCAATATGTGTGATTCCATTCTTCCAATTCCACAGCTTATTTGGTCTTGTTGTATTCTATTTATTACATCTTTACTCAAGAGTTGACGTAGTATGCGAATCTTGAGAGAGTAAGGACATTGCATTAGCAGTTCATGTCCAGGTCAACTTAGGAGGCTGTAATTCTCATTTGGATCGGAGAAACAATGCGAAGCTCGATAAAAAAAATTATTTATATGTGTAGCTCTGTAGAAGTCCTGCTCGAGTAACATGTATGATCAAAAGCTTGATAACAGTCAGCAAGACATCTTGATTCGTTCTAAGAAGAGTCAAATTTATGAATTACTCGGTACAATCCCACTCACGAGCAGGCTAACCAACCAAGTGGAATACATTTTAATCAGGTTTTCCATGTGATGGTATGTCAATTTTAACAGTTCAAAACTGCAAAACTTTAAAACTCTTACAACTACGGGACTAGTGCATTGTAAACTTTTGAAAAGCAAACAGACTCTCTGATAACCAATTTCAAATCAGTATAGATTTGAGATAACACTCTCCATTGATTCAAGAAACTGTGATTACAATTAATCAATTCAGTATAGATTTGAGATAACACTCTCCATTGATTCAAGAAACTGTGATGACAATTAATACACAAGTTTAGAGACCACATAGTTGACGTGTCATCATGAACAATTATTTCAACTATGAAAACCAATATGTCAAAAATGTAATCGAGGCAACATGAATTAAGGATGATACAGGAAAAGTTATTCTAATTTTTAATTTTTTTTAATTTCAAGTATATTTTAATTTTAGTTTTAGGATTTATTTTTAGGGTTTTACAGTTTTCTAGGGATTCTAAGGTTTTTTAATATTTTTTAGCGTATATTTACTGTTCACAGGTATTGTTAATGGGTATTGTTCATGCATTACTGTTCACAGAGGTATTTCTGTAAATTTATAATTGTTTAGGGGTAATTTAGAGTCTTAAATGTTTAATTGGATCTCAAGTTAATTCTAGGGTTTCATAGGCTTATAAGAGGTTGGATGTCACATTTTGGGAGGCTTATTGAAAAATTTTATTTCATGAAAGAAGAAAGATATTATTTTCTTGGCTTTATTTAAAGCTACATTGTTTTTCTATTATTGTTGATTTTACTTGTTTAAGTTTAAAAAAAAGGTGGATTTAATTTTCCGCATTTCCTTCCTGCATCAAAGGACCAACTGAAATGTTCTAATAACCACCCTAAAACTAACAGCCACCCACAAACTTAAGTTGCATGGACATGGATACTTATGTATGGGTCATATATTGGTACAGGGTGGCCGATTATTTACTGACACTCTATTTCATGGTGAGTAGACCAAACAAAACTCAATTATGCGTTGGCTGAATCCATACATGTTTTCAAAGTTCATCCGTGACTATGAAGACAAAAGAGAAGATTGAAATCTACATCAATGATGCACTCAATGGTCAGCAAACAAGAAGAGTCCAAAAAATATGTCAGTGTGTGTGTCAATTCGTGCCCGACAAGGGTGTGGCACCCAAACAGAAGAATCCATGTAATGATGTAGCATAGCCTCAAACTAAATTATTCTAACACTCACTCTAAAACTCAGATGAATTAGTGAAAGTTTGTCCATGAACTTTTCGTGTAGTGTCAAGGACATCTCAGAATTATATGGTTGAATTCGATAAAACATTAAATACTATTATCCATAGAGCGCTCGCCTGTGTGTGGAGAAAACATTATACATGCCAATGGGCAAAAACTGTAGCATTAGCCCTTTGGAGATAGAGGTCATTGTTGGACCCCAAATTTTGCAGACATGCTCATGTTGGGAATGAAATTTTGCATGCATGTTCACATCATCCCAGTGCTCAAAGTGATTAGAATAAAAATATGATTGCACAAAAAAAAGGTCCAGAATCCACCATTTTTGGTGAATGCAAACCGTCTATTAGATGGTTGGTGGTCTTGGCCTTCAAGAACGCAGTGTTTTTTTTTTTAATTATTCATTTATTGATCAATGTTATTTTGCAAAATTTATTCCCAAACAAATCCCTCTAGCTTGCACTATAGCACAAGCCCATTAGCTTGTATGCTAGGGCATTAATCCCTTCCACAAAGGAGAAGAAAATTGCAAAATGCTTTCAAGTGGTAACAAGGTTTTGAACTTCAGTATATTAATCCCTTCAAATTTTGATGAAACTTGGTCAGTGAGTTCAATATCTGTTTATTATAGCCCAAAATAGGGTACCAAGTACTTGGTTGTTCACCCTCTTCTTTCAATTCACTCAACCAACGTTTCGCAAACGAGGTATCTTGATTACAATGTTAATTACGAGTTATATAAACATTGTGACATATCAGAAAAATAAATAAAATTAATCACTTGTAAATGAGGAAAGGGAAATGCAGAATTAAAAGGAAAACAATAATATGAATAATATATAAGCTTACCTTTGTGGCAATGGCAGTAGCAACCAAGTTGGATGTCGCGATAGAAAGGAACATGAACACATAACCCAGGTAGTCACAAACCACAGTAGCTGGCCCTGCAAACACATTCAATAAAGAAAATTACAAAGGTGAAAGAACAGAGAAAAACTAAGCAGAAGCGAGAGAAAGATGAATTACACATTGGTGGGAGAAACAAGTTTCAGAAAAAAAAAGGTTAATACAAATCATATGAAGAGAAGGGGGTACAACAAAAACCTAAGGCAGCGAGCTCCAAAGAGCTACTCTGGCCAATAACTGCAGTATCTATAAGACTCATCAGAGGACCACAAACCCATAAGCCAGTTGCAGGCCCTGCAAACATGACAATGTCCTTCATCTGTTTCCATATACTCTGAGAACCACCATTACCAAGCCCTAGAATTTCATCACCAGCCTTATCAGAACCAATTTCTCCATTATCAGAGTAATTGTTCAAATCCATTTCTCCATTATCAAAAGGTAAATTCGAACCAAACTCTCCATTATCAAAAGGCTTTATCTCATCGTAAGAACCAGAAAACGAAGAAGATAGAGCGGGGCCTCTTCCGCGAAATTTGGAGCTAAAGGAGGGTGAGAGGTAGGTAATGGTAGGGACTGGTTTGATGAGAGAGAAAGGGTGGGAAGAGAGGCGGAAAGGGCGATGAGAGAGAAGGGAGTGTCCGCGGAGAATCCGTAGAGGAGGAGAGGCAGGAGAAAGATAAAGAAATGCTGGTGCGGCCAGCATTTTTGCTTTGCAAACACCAGTTTTTAGAGAGAGAGCGTGTGTTTTTGAGAGAGAGGCCTATTTGCTTTGTTGGAGCGTTTCGAAATGTCGTGTTTCTCTCTTGAGTAACGGCGTTCTGCACTTTTTGGGAATATACAGGAATACTTTGAGAGAGACGGCGGCTTGTACAATTCAACTCAATTTCAAATGCTGCCTCGGGCAGGGTCCAGTCTAGAAAGGGTTGTGTTCTTGTTCCGTTGTGGAGAAAACGGAAACATAGAGACGTGTTTAAACGGGGAGAGAGCCCAAGCAGTGAAAACCATTCAAGCCACAAGACCATTCACGCCACGTCTCAAAATTATGGCCTTAAACGGAAGTGGCTCGCACGTGGTTTCCTCGTTTTGGCCTGTTGTTTATGTAGCGTTGGGGCATCAGCCTTGTGTGATCGTATTATGGTCGGAGATTTTATTTTGAGAAACAATTTTTTGTGAAATTATTATCCAATTGAAATATCAGATAAAATAATTTTAATTCAAAAAAAAAAAATTTGATATACCTATATTTATAGAACATATATAGAACTCAGTTTGGATTCTCACCTCAAAAACGAAAAGAAACTTTACAAAAATTTCTAAAAACAAAAAATAACTTTTTTAAAGACTTAGATGCTACCCATTGGATTTACAAAATACTTAAACCTAATTTCTTATAAAACTCTTTGAAATTATGGTCTAAAAGTCCAACATATTGTAACCTAAAACTCTCTTATCAAAAACAGGATCATCAGAGTAAAACCTATCGTCTATCTCAAAAAGGATATAGACAAAATTGCTATTCAGTTAAAAAAACAACTAGAAAAAGATTTGATTGAACCAACAACAAATCCTCATTCTATTCCTCCATTTATGATAAGAAACCACAATGAAGAAAAAAGAGATAAAGCCCGGATGATAATCGACTATCAAAGGCTTAACCAAAACATTGTGTTTGATGGATATTTTATATCTAGAAAATATGTATTAATACATCAAACCAAATGAGTAAAATATTTTAGTAAATTTGATTACAAATCGGAATTCTGGCAAATCATGCTAACAAAAGAATCCAGACCAGTAACTACTTTCAGTGCTCCATATAGCTATTACCAATGGAAAGTAATGTCATTCGAACTCTTGATTTACATCCGGACCTTAAAAAAAAATTTAAATATGAAATGCTTCATTTATTAATAAAAATTAGGGAAATTATCGTTAATATACGTCTATTTAAGTAAAATCGAGAAAAAAAAACAAAAAAAAAACAAAAAACAAAAAACAAAAAAAAACAAAAAAAAAAAAACCCAAACTTTTCAAAACCTCACCTACACCTTTTCTCACAAATTTCGGTTTTTTTTTTACCAAAATGTCCTTCACGGTAGTCTTTTTACCGTAATACATTTTAAGTTTTATGGTAATTAAAACGCTGTAAAAAATTCAAAGGAAAAGTCTTTACCGTATTCTTATTACTTTCCCAGTCAATTCCAAATGCTTATTGGTTGAAAAATTTCAAACCGAAACTAATATCAGGGTTACCTCTCTCCTCCCACGCTCTGTGAACCAGAGTAAAAGCTTATCAGGGCTACCCCTCTCATCTCGCACTCTATGAACTAGAGGAAAAGCATATCATGGCTACCCCTCTCCTCCCGCACTCTGTGAACCAGAGGAAAAGCTTATCAAGGTTATCCCTCTCCTCCCATACTCTGTGAACCAGAGGAAAAGCTAAGTTCAAGAGAGAACTCGCGTAAAGGGATTGGTAAGGTTGGGAACGTTCAGTAGATATCTTCAGTTGTGGCTATTGAATTGGATTTTTTTTTTCTCTTTTCATGATTTATACAAGTTTTTAACGCATTTATTTTCTATAATAAAAGTGGGGTTTTTCTCTTTTTTTTCTTGGTTAACTGTTTTTCATGAAAGAGTTGTGTATGCATGCAAATTTCCATGAAAAATTACCAAATTTCGTCGAAAAAAATGAGGAAAGATTTTCATGTTCAGTCAATTGGGTGGTCGGAAAAAGTTGCAGATCTTGCCATAAACAAGGGTCTGTTAATGTTGATCAGGCACCAAGAATTGAGATTTTTGATTGAAGAGTTAGAGAGAGAGAATTGGGTTTCAATCACAATTGAATGAACAACTGAGATGGCTCAATCACAATGTTATGCCTCTACACTATTTTATTTTATTTTTACAAAATATTTTGACACCAAATTTTGGTTATTGTATTTTTATCAAAAATATTGTTTAAATATTATTTTTAGGTGTGGCTCACTAAATATCATTAGAGCATATTTATGTCAAAAGATTTTATACTCTTAATAGAGTGTATTGTATATGTACTCCATTGGGCAGAACACATTCTAAGAAAAGAAGGAAAAAGTTTATACAAGGTTGAAACCTTAAAATGTAGAACTACGGATGCACCTCAAAAATCCATCGGAAAAGGTTATTTTAATGTTGAAAAACCTTGTGATTAATCATCTCGACATCGAGATATATGACTATGAAAAATAAAAAGATTTTGAGTCTAAAAAATAGTGCATCTTACAACATATTATCTACATTGTCCATTTTCTAGATTTTCATATATGTTATAGATCTATTTGATTTTAACCATTTTTTAAATTTAAAATTTTATAATTAGATATAAAAATATATTTTGAGATAATCCTAAGAATATTTTATATCAAAATTAAACAATCCACCTTAGTTGGATTGTTTAAGGTTGCAACCTTATAGAAACCACACCCATGAAGAATGTTCTTGACATCCCACACTTATGGGATGTAAGATCTAGAACCCAACGATCAACCTCAAAAAAAAAAAAAAAATCTAAGTCTTACTCTTTATGTGCCTTAGAATTCAAAATCCAATTTCTTTTGTCCTTTTGTCTTTGAATATATAATAATCTAGTAATACTTAGATAAATCCAAAAATAAAAGATAAAAAAAACTCCCAAGCAGCTATTTTGCACAGGGAGTTGTAGAGTATGCTCCGACGGAAGTATATTATACACGTTTGTAGAAAGAAACCGTTTATTTTTAGTACAAAGAGGCCAAAATCACTCTTGTTTGTCAGATTTTAAATCACATAGTTGCAAATATGTTATTGACTAAACGGAAAGTAAAAAATCTCGAACTTTGTGACACACCCTAAACCATCTAATTTGACATTAAATAGCTAAGAATGATTGTGATTTTCTTGTGCCAATAACAAATAGTCTCATAGTATACAATTCTATTAAAAAAATGGTGCTGTTTATGTTAGGAAAAAGTTTATATAAAAGGTTGTAACCTTATATTGTAGAAGTGAGGTGCACCTTAAAAATCCAGTAGAAAAGAGTGTTCCGAAGTTAGGAAATCTTCCAATTGGTCATCTCAATCCCAAGATATATGGATTTAAAGAAAAAGTAATTTCAAGTTCTAAAAACAGTGCATCTTGTAACAAGTTATCTAACAATTTATTTCCAAGATTTTTAAATGTTTATAGATCTGATTGATTTACACTATTTTTGGGATCTTAAATTTCATAATTAGAGTTGAACATGGATTTTTAATAATCCTGACACTAGAACTACATATTTTGGCCAAATTTAGAGGTACACCTGGTACAAACCTTGTACTTTATGCAAAGCCTTATAAACTTTTTAAAATAAAGAAAATTATATAAGGTTGCGACTTTAACTATTAAAGTAAGGTGTATTTCAAAAATCCTCATCTTGATCTCGAGATGTGTGGATATGAAGAAAAATAAAATTTCAAATATTAAAAATAACACATTTTTATAACAAGTTATCTCAATCTTCTATTTTTAAGATTCTTAAGTGTTTACCGATCTTCTCAAGTTGCACCATTTTTTAAATTTGAAATTGATAAAGGATATAACCTTAAGCTTTATGGCTCTTTCTCGTGTTAAAAAACCATCTTGGCTATTTGAATTCCAGTCTCATACTGTCATACATGGTTTAATAGAATAGATACTCTCATGTTATTTTTCAAAAAAAAGAAATAGACATAATGCACGAAAGCTTGCCTAAAGATTTAGGGAAACATAATTACTATGGCACTTCAACAAACCAGAGCATACATATTGGCCATAAAACTGTAGTCGCTTCTTACAGGAAGATCAAACTCCTCAAATTTTCCACACAACCTTAAAATGAGAATGGCATCAGTGTCCACAATGAGCACGACAAGTCCTCTCACAATCGAAGATGCAGGTTCCATGGCAATGTATGGGGCACTCTATTCTCCTTCCCCCACACCTTCCTTTACCAATACAATGAGCATATTCCCCTACCTTGTATAGTCCATACCCTTTGCTTCTCTCCCTCTTATGTCCAAGTTGACCCCTAGGGTAGCTCTTTGGTGAGCCACAACTCCAACCCCATCCACCACCACCACCTCCTCCTCCTCCTCCTCCTCCTCCTCCACCACCTCCTCCTCCTCCTCCTCCTCCTCCACCACCTCCTCCTCCTCCCCCCCATCCCCATCCATATCCACCATCACTGCCTCCTCCTCCTCCACCTCCACTACCACCCCCTCCTCCTCCTCCCCCTCCCCCTCCTCCACCACCGCTTCCTCCCCCACCTCCACCTCCATTTCCTCCTCCTCCTCCACCACCACCACTTCCTCCTCCTCTTCCACTACCATGTCCTCCCCCTCTTCCACCTCCTCTCCCTCCTCCACCACCTCCTCCTCCTCCTCCACCTCCACCACCACCTCCTCTTCCACTACCACGTGCCTCTGCCGCCTCCTCCTCCTCCTCCACCACCCCCACCACCCCACCCCACCACCACCCCCACCACCACCCATACCGCTATTTCCACGACCACCATCAATACTTAGTGTCTCCAATGAAGAGACACTCTCCTCCTGTTTTCCTGCTTCCTCCTCGTTAACCGTGCTCTCTGTGTTATTTCTCACTCTAAGAGGCTTGTTGAATTGAAAGCCCTCATAATCCGAGCCATGCATGGCGTGTTCGACGTCCAAAGTGGAGTCTGAGTGAGCACTTCTTTCATCAAAGACGTGCATTGCTGCTTTGGAGGTGGCATTTGTCGAGCCATGGCTCACACTACTCAATGTCAACTGCAGAATTATGCTAAGCAACGCAATGAACCACCTCCCCATTGTGTTGGACGCTTTGTTTTGGTGGGAGCCCCCTATTTAAAGGGAAAGAGAGAGAGAGCATGGAAGGTAAGTTTAGAGAGAGAGCATGGAAGGTAGGTTTAAAGAGAGAGAGCATGGAAGCTAAGTTTGTGGGGGCCCTGTCTATGAGTTAGTGTGAGCCAAAGCTGCCAAGAGCTGTGGTACATTGCCTTGCTATGCACTCCATGGCCACCCGCATTGGGAATTGCAACTAACTTTCTCCATTCCCACGTCAATCATGCCCCATGTTCAATCTCACCCTATGATTGATAACTTCATGAATAAAGAGTTCTATATGGGAATGTATTTATATTAGGGTCCTAAAAATTGCTGATTTGGATCAAGAAGCATTATTTAATGGAAAAAATTTATATAAGATTGTAATCTTAAAATGTAGAATTAAAGATCCATCAAAAAAATCTATAGGAAAATGTTGTTTTAATGTTGAAAATCCCTTTAATTGATCAACATTGAGATATATGAATATGAAAAAGAAAAAAAAAGATTTTGAGTCCTAAAAATAGTGCATCTTGCAATACATTATCTAGACCATCTATTTTCAAGATTTTCATATGTTTATAAATCTTTTTTATTTTAATTATTTTTAAGTTTAAAATTTTATAATTAGATATAAAAATAGATTATGAGATAATCCTAAAAAAAAATTTACTCTAGTCTTATTCCCACTTGATAAAATGGCCTTCTTTTCTCTAAAATTCATTGTTCATCTTTTATAATATGTTACTTTCTTCATATTATATTACTTAAAATATTTAACATCAGTCTCTTAATGGATTGCCTTTCATTTACTCTCCTAAAGTTTCCCAAATCATCCCTTCAGTATTACTAATGCCATGCACGTAAGAACCCCTCCATGAGTCTCATCACTTACTAAAAATTGAGAAACCAGTGTTTATTTAGGGAAAGAATCTTCTCGGCTGCGGCTTAATAAAGCTGCATTTTAGATTCCCCCAAAAAAATGCAGTTATATTGTTATAAAACTTACAAATTAATTATCGCCATCTCGACAATCATTGATTTTAAAAAGTAAATTTTAAGTTTAAAAGTAATTAATACCTTGCAACACATAAGCTTAAACCTATTCGCCATACCTCTATATCACTTTTGGAGCTTTAAATTCCATTTAAAAAAAAAAAAACTTGCAAAATGTCCCAATGATTTCTACTCGAGAAAGTACATTAGGTTTTGAGGTGCAGCTTTACCAATATTCATAAAGCCGCTGCGTTAGGAAAACGACACCCCTCAGTTTAGCATATGTAGCTTCTATAAGGCCTAAAACTTGTGAAAAAAAAAAGGAAAAAGTTAAGCCTTGCTTTAAACCTTTGTCTAGCAAATACTTTGGGCATAAATAATCTTTATGATGGCTCTAAAATCAATTTCGACCATTGATTATGAAATTTGTTGTTAAAAAAATAGTAAAAATCAAGCAAATCGGTAAACATTTATTTTTAAATCAAAATAGATAGTCTAGATAATTTGTTACAATATACATTATTTTTAAAGCTTGAAATCTTAATTTTTTTTTCAACGAACGAGACTGAGATGATTGATTCGAAGCTTGTCCAATCCTAAAGCTGTAATTTTCGAAAAGTTTTGGGGTCGAGGCTTTACTTATTTTTAAAGCTATGCAGCCCTATCAAAACATTTTCTTAACCCAAGCCGCTTAACGGATTTTTCATTCGAAAAAAAAAGAAAGCGCATAGTAGATGGATCATTGTTCCTCATTATTACGAGCACGCGGCTCTTGGTAATCCCCAGCTATACAAACTCTTGTAGGCGAGGGACCAATACTATGCGGTTTGAAGATGGGACCAATACCATGCCGTTTCAAGATGGGGCCGTGATAATGTTGTTTGCTGTTTGGTAAATGGCAATTTAGGAAATGGAGGAGAGAGAATCATAATTGCGACCAAAAAGAGAGGTGAGAGAAACCATGCTCTTAGAAACCCTGTTTGGCGTTTCGTCCACGGGCAGCAAAAGGGTTTGTAGGTTTTTTTTTTTTCTTTCTTTTCTGTGGGCCTAATATTTTAGTAGAGAGAGAGAGAGAGAGGGGTTGTTGAAGAGAGAGATTGAAGTGCGATCCACTGGGTTTCCCCTCACCCACCCACTTGCTGTATACACTTGTTGCTTCGAAAGCTGTCCCTCCCATGACTCACGAATAGAGATTTAGAGAGAGAGTGAGTGAGAGATGATGTTCCGGACCAAAGAACATCACCAGTCAATAAGAAGATACGATTACCTCCGTATTATATTTTAATATGGTAATTACTGACTGGTTCAAATTTATGAAGATTTATGTTTGAAGGTTTTTTTTTTTGTTTTGGCTGTTGAGTCTATTGAAAACATTGGTCCACATTTTTATTTTATTCTTTTATTTTTCGAAGTTCCTCATAAAGCATTTGAAGTATACTGTCCTGAAACATCATACCGAAATTCTCAAAAAGAAAGCCTCCGATATTCCTTAAGACTCATGAGCGCTCTCTCACTAAAGGCAGCCCGATATTTCTATTACCCAAGTACTATCTAGGTGGTCTGCTGGGCCACAAAAGTTTTTCTTTTTTGAACTTTTTTTATGGGATCACTCTCTTCATCCGACGGTGTACTTTTTGTGGTATTGACCGATCCAATGCTTCGACATCAGATTGGATCCAATATCGGGCCAAGGGGTAAAAATGGAAAAGAATAAAAAAGGACGGAAAAAAAGCACCATTCAATGTTGTAATTATCTAAATTTTGACCAATTGGTATTTAAATATAGTATGGACGTAAATTTTTCAAGATTTAGCCGTGAAGGATGCAACTATGCATAAATGACGATTGTGATTATAAGAGATGGCCAGCAAACTGTTGAGGTGTAAAGGGATGGATTGTGATGGTAGCATCTCCATATTTAACAATCACGTTTTGGTTTTCAATCCTGCTGACATAACCTAGTGTGATACTTTCAAAAAAGATAACTCTTTAATTTATCAGAAAAAACCCTTTCAGTCAATAAATTTGAGAAGCATAAGCTTTTAAATAAAAATACGGTATATGAGTTTAGAATCCTAAAATGAACCTTAAATTCATTAGAAATATAGAAAGGGTGCGGTTTGTACATAGCTCAAGCTCTTTAAACAATCAAATTAGAGCCTACCTTCAAATAGTATCGAAAAATATAGTTTTATTATTGGAAATCTTTGTAATAGCCTTAAAATATATTTTCATCTTTATTTATAAATTTTAGAGCTTCAAAAATAGTGTAGATCGACATATCTATGATAATTTGAAATTTTCAAAAATTGACGGTCCAAAAATGTGTTACAAAATACACTATTTTGCAGTACTTGAAATCTATTTTTTTTTTATGTCCATACATCTTGATGTCGAGATGATCAATTTGAGGATATTTGAGCATCAAAACAACTCCGCCAGTGAAATTTTTGAGATATGCTCTAATTTGATTGTTTAGAGCCTCGGCTCAATGTAAACTTTTCCCATATATAAAAGCCTATAAGATACGGTACATGGACCCTATGATAAGACCCCTAGCTCCAAATACCTCGAGTTCCCTATATAACCATGAACTTTATTCATGCATCAACTTATGCATCCAAACATGGCATGAAATCACAAAGATTAACTCAATAACCTGCCATCAACCACGCTAATTATCTCAGGAACCACCATGCTAACCTCCCCCCCTTGGAAGCTCTCTCCAAAATGGATCACTTTATCCATTCAAAAGTTATACCAAACCATAGTTCTCACATTTTAACCTCCATTTCGCCGGAACTCAGGCACGTTTGACGACGGGTCTCGAAAACACCGGTGCGTCTAGAAATCATATATTTTGGAAACCTGGGGTTATTGAGAACTGGCAAGTCCCTTATTTCATAACTTTTCTGGATTCCTGGTGAGTTCAATATCCCTTATTTGTTTAAACCAATAAATTTGGAAATTAGCCAGTTTTAACCATTGATTGAATAATTAAGTAATGAGAGGTTAATATTTATTCAGTAAATTAAAATCATATATACCTAGTAGGACGGACAAGATGAATTATTCAGATCACCATAAAATATTGAAATTTTACATTATCTTACATTTGAATTTTTCTCATTTTCTTTATTGAAAAATATCGTTCCTTCTAGCTCGAGGTGAAGTTTCTATTTGCTTTTGAACAAAACTTGGGTTAACATAAAAGGCAAGCTTTCTATATTTCTTCTACAGCATAGAAGTTCTCTCCTCCCCCTTATCCAACCGTCCATTATGAATGGAGGACTAAGATTGCCCCAATCACAATGTCACGTTTCTACACTATTTTATTTTTAATTTTTTAATAAACTATTTTGACACCAAATTTTGAACGTTCATTCTTCTATTAAACTCTCACTAACGAAAAATATAAAAAAATTATTTTCAATAAAATAAAATGACCAAAATACCCCTGAAATATTCAAGGGGTATTTTGGTCATTCTATTTTATCAAAAAAGTATTTTTAATATTTTTTATAGGTACGTCCCAATGAGAAGATGTCACATACTATATTTTATATTCATACAATTTGTATAAAAAAACTAAAATAAAATACTTTGAGACGTCGGCTCTAAGATCAAGAGCTGAGTGGCTCTCTTGATCAAAATTAGACGGCTGGATGGTAGGGGGAGAATAGAACTTCTATGCTGTAGGAGAAACATAGAAACCTTTCCCTAATATAAAAAGGGACTCAAAGTAAATTAGGATACAAAATCAAAGCCTTACACATTATAAAGTGCTTTTAGAAATAAACGAAAGCATGATATAACAAATTAAAAAATGAGACCCCTATACTTTTTTGTTAGAGCAATTTATTTACGGCTCCTAAAAGAATATAGAAAATACGAAATGCTCCTTTTGTAGCTGAAAATTACCAAGCAAGTCGGTTAACATGTGATTTTTTTTCAAAATTGCCCCTCGGTCTAAAGATGGCATCTTTGGT